GTCTATAAATGTATTAATTCAAGGATTATGTGGAGTAAAATAAAGGTTGGATGTGAAAAGTGGGTTATAGTAAGCATATATGCACTTGGAGAAGAGAAAAGTGTAAAGGAGAGAGAGAGATTTTGGGAAGTGTTGAGTGAATGCAAAGGGAGTTTTGAACCAAGTGTGAGAGTAATTGTGGTTGGGGATTTTAATGCTAAAGTGGGCAAAAATGTTGTGGAGGGAGTAGTAGGTAAATTTGGGGTGTCAGAGGTAAATGAAAATGGGGAGCCTTTAATTGAGCTATGTGTAGAAAGAGGTTTGGTAAAAAGTAATACATATTTTATGAAAAAGAGGATAAATAAATATACAAGGTATGATATAGCACATAATGAAAGTAGTTTGTTAGATTATGTATTGGTGGATAACAGGTTGATGGGTAGGCCCCAGGATGTACACATTTATAGAGGGGCAACTGATATATCAGATCATTATTTAGTTGTAGCTACAGTTAGAGTAAGAGGCAGATGGGACAAGAGGACAATGGCAACAACAACTAAGAGGGAGGTGAAAGTGTATAAACTAAGGGAGGAGGAACTTCAGGTGAGATATAAGCAACTATTGGCAGAAAGGTGGGCTGGTGCAAGTATGAGTAGTCGGGGGTGGTTGAAGAGGGCTGAAATTGTTTCAAAAATTCAGTATTAGAAAGTGGAGCAGAACTTTGTACTTATAGGAGAGAGGGTGCAGGAGGAAAGATTAGTGATTGGTGGAATGATGAAGTAAAGGGTATGATAAAAAAGAAAAAGGTAGCTTATGAGAGATTTTTACAAAGCAGAAGTGTTATAAGAAGAGTAGAGTATATGGAGAGTAAAAGAAAGGTGAAGAGAGTGGTGAGAGAGTGCAAAAGGAGAGCAAATGATAGAGTGGGAGAGACACTGTCAAGAAATTTTAATGAAAATAATAAAAAATTTTGGAGTTAAATAAGTTAAGATAGCCTAGGAAATGAATGGATTTGTCAGTTAAAAACAGAGTAGGGGAGTTAGTAGACGGGGGAGATGGAGGTATTGGGTAGATGGCGAGAATATTTTGAGGAACTTTTAAATGTCGACAAAGAAGGGAGGAGCTAATTTCATGCACTGGACAGGGAGGTATACCATCTTTTAGGAGTGAAGAAGAGCAGGATGTGAGTGTGGGGAGGTACGTGAGGCATTACGCAGAATGAAAGGGGGTAAAGCAGCTGAAACTGACAGGATCATGACAGAAATATTAAAAGCAGTGGGGGATATGGTGTTGGAGTGGTTGGTATTTTTGTTTAATAAATGTATGAAAGAGGGGAAGGTATCTAGGGATTGGCAGAGAGCATGTATAGTCCCTTTATATAAAGGGAAGGGGGGCAAAAGAGATTGTAAAAATTATAGAGGAATAAATTTGCTGAGTATACAAGGAAAAATGTACGGTAGGGTTATTATTGAAAGAATTAAAGGTAAGACAAAATGTAGGATTGAGGATGAGCAAGGAGGTTTTAGAGTGGGTAGGGGATGTGTAGATACAAGTGTTTACATTGAAGCATATATGTGAACAGTATTTAGATAAAGGTAGGGAAGTTTTTATTGCATTTATGGATTTAGAAAAGGCATATGATAGAGTGGATAGGGGAGCAATGTGGCAGATGTTGCAAGTATATGGAATAGGTGATAAGTTACTAAATGCTGTAAAGAGTTTTCATGAGGATAGTGAGGCTCAGGTTAAGGTGTGTAGAAGAGAGGGAGACTACTTCCCAGTAAAAGTAGGTCTTAGACAGGGATGTGTAATGCCACCACAGTTGTTTAATGTATTTATAGATGGGGTTGTAAAAGGGGTGGGATTAAATTATGGGGAATCAAATACAAAATGGGTGTTCTTGTCATCATATTGACAAGACGTAGTATAAAATCTGTGAGTTTATTTCCTGTCATCGAAGTAGAAATCTTTAGCCCTTTCAGGGTTTCGGCCATACCAGTACGGCTTACGCACCAGGGTTTTTGACGTACTAGTAGGCCTAAATTCCAGCGCTCTCAAATCTAATGAGAGAAAGCTGGTAGGCCTACATACAAAAGAGTGGGTCTATGTGGTCAGTGTGCGCAGTATAAAAAAAATCCTGCAGCACACTGTGCGTAATGAGAAAAAAACTTTGACAGTGTTTTTGGATTAAAACAGCGACTTTGCACTGTATTTTCGTATGGTATTTGTTGTTGTATTCTAGTTTTCCTGGTCTCATTTTATAGAATGGAAGACATACTACAGAAATTAAGATAATTTTGACTGGTTTTACAATGAAAAGTACCTTGAAATTGAGCTCAAAGTAGCAAAAATGTTTGATTTTTACCAAAGTTTAAAAGTAAACAAATCATGCTAAGCGTCCAATACACGTCAATTGGTGAGTCTAATATTCTTTCACAAGTGCGCCGATATTATTTATACCATTTTTACGCTAATGCAGTAGTCTGCATAACAGTAAATATTCTATTTTTTGTGAGAATACAAATTCAAAGAGGAAAGCAAAAGAATGTAAGAGGGGAGTGGGGACGTGACTAATGAATATAGGAAATGTTATTTTAGTGCCAGGAATGTCTTTCTTGTTTGTTCCGGACCCTATTTGGAAATTGGCATCTTTTGAAATTTGTGTGAAATTGGCAAAATTGCTAAATTCTGACCACTGTATTAGATAGTTGAAATCTGTAAATGGGTGGTTTCTTGTACTCATTCGATAGAAAAAATGGAGTTCAAGCAAAATAGTTATGATTTCTGTCGACTAGTACACTGGAATTGGCGAAAAATAGGGCTCAAAGTGGGCAAAATCGCCGATGCATAAACATCGTCGAGATCGCTAACTTCGCGAGAGCATAATTCCGTAAGTTTTCCATCAAATTTCATACTTTTGGTGTCAATGTGATCAGGAAAAGATTTTCTATCTTTTTTTTTTGAAATTTGGGCAACCCTGAGAACAAGTCTGGGAGAGGGCCTGGGGACCCTCAAAGGGTTAAGAGTTACATAATTCCTCATATTCCTCCTCTTTTTTTTTTAACAAGTCGGTCGTCCCCCACCGAGGCAGGGTGACCAAAAAAGAAAGAAAATCCCCAAAAAAGAAAATACTTTCAGCATCATTCAACACTCTCACCTCACTCACACATAATCACTGTTTTTGCAGAGGTGCTCAGAAACACAACAGTTTAGAAGCATATACGTATAAAGATACACAACATATCCCTCTAAACTGCCAATATCCCAAACCCTTCCTTTAAAGTGCAGGCATTGTACTTCCCATTTCCAGGACTCAAGTCTGGCTATATAAAATAACCAGTTTCCCTGAATCCCTTCACTAAATATTACCCTGCTCAAACTCCAACAGCTTGTCAGGTCCCAAATACCATTTGTCTCCATTCACTCCTAACACGTTCATGCATGCTTGCTGGAAGTCCAAGCCCCTCGCCCACAAAACTTCCTTTACCCCCTCCCTCCAACCCTTTCGAGGACGAGCCCTACCCCGCCTTCCTTCCCCTACAGATTTATATGCTCTCCATGTCATTCTACTTTGATCCATTCTCTCTAAATGACCAAACCACCTCAACAACCCCTCTTCAGCCCTCTGACTAATACTTTTATTAACTCCACACCTTCTCCTAATTTCCACACTCCAAATTTTGTGCATAATATTTACACCACACATTGCCCTTAGACAGGACATCTCCACTGCCTCCAACCGCCTCCTCGCTGCAGCATTTACAACCCAAGCTTCACACCCATATAAGTGTGTTGGTACTACTATATTTTCATACATTCCCTTCTTTGCCTCCACAGATAATATTCTTTGTCTCCACATATACCTCAATGCACCACTCACCTTTTTTCCCTCATCAATTCTATGATTAACCTCATCCTTCATAAATCCATCCGCTGATACATCAACTTCCAAATATCTGAAAACATTCACTTCTTCCATACTTCTCCTCCCCAATTTGATATCCAATTTTTCCTTATCTAAATCATTTGATACCCTCATCACCTTACTCTTTTCTATGTTCACTTTCAACTTTCTACCTTTACACCCACTCCCAAATTCATCCACTAACCTCTGCAATTTTTTTTTTAGAATCATCCATAAGTACAGTATCATCAGCAAAAAGTAACTGTGTCAATTCCCATTTTGTATTTGATTCCCCATAATTTCATCCCACCCCTCTCCCGAACACCCTAGCATTTACTTCTTTTACAACCCCATCTATAAATATATTAAACAACCATGGTGATATTACACATCCCTGTCTATGACCTACTTTTACTGGGAAGTAATCTCCCTCTCTTCTACACACCCTAACCTGTTTACAGCCAGCATTTAGTAGCTTACCACCTATTCCATATATTGTACTTGCAACATCTGCCACAGTGCTCCTCTTTTATTTAAATTTAATTACATATCTGATCATTATTACACTATTACTCCTTATCTGATATTTAATTATCTTCAAGATACTTTCTCTAACATTAAATCTTGATTAATGTATTTCACAGAATGCTAAATTTTCAGTAAAGTTTGTTTTACAATATTATGCAAGTTTATATTTTAGTGTCCTATACACATATACATTGTTCACATACATTTTTCATTTTTATACAATTAGAATTACTGTCAGCTCTCTTACAAAGCTCCTCCATTATGATTTTTTGTAAAAGTGATTTAAAAAGTACATGAAAAATTTAATAGAATGAACTATGAAGGAGTTTCTATGTGCTATTCAATTATGAATGTACAGTATTTTTTGAACTGCACTTACGAAAAAATTGAACTGTATCGAGGAACTTTACATTAAAGCTGACTATAGTCGCAACTTTAGATTACCCGAAATGTTATGAATAGCAATGGGCTTGTCCATTAAGATATGCTATATACAGTTTTGTTAAACTATTAGGAAAATAAGTTATCAGTCTGAAACTGCATTACATGCCTTTGTTCTCTTTCTCTCTTTCATGTTCTCTTTCCTTACCCTTTTATTTGGGTTGATGCGTATAGCTGTAGGATGTGTAGTGATCAGAGCACACTGCCCTGCAATAATCTCCAGCGTCACATTCTTTTCAACTGTGCTATTTTCCTTGTTTACATCCACAGTCAAAGTGTATCTGCAGAAATGTACACATTATTAATTGTTTTTTCTAAAGATTGTAACACAAGTGTTCTCTATGAAAATAATAGAAAAATAAAACTTTGACTATAATACAATTACTTAACATCTTCCAAAATTTTAACGAAAGTATTATTCCATATATCTAACTGCCAGTGATGAATTCTTTTTTTTTTTTTTTTTTTCAACAAGTCGGCCATCTCCCACCGAGGCAGGGTGACCCAAAAAGAAAGAAAATCCCCAAAAAGAAAATACTTTCATCATCATTCAATACTTTCACCTCACTCACACATAATCACTGTTTTTGCAGAGGTGCTCAGAACACAACAGTTTAGAAGCATATACGTATAAAAATACACAACATATCCCTCCAAACTGCTAATATCCCAAAACCCCTCCTTTAGAGTGCAGGCATTGTACTTCCCATTTCCAGGACTCAAGTCCGGCTATATAAAAATAACCGGTTTCCCTGAATCCCTTCACTAAACATTACCCTGCTCATACTCCAATAGATCGTCAGGTCCTAAATACCATTCGTCTCCATTCACTCCTATCGAACACGCTCATGCACGCCTGCTGGAAGTCCAAGCCCCTCGTCCACAAAACCTCCCTTACCCCTTCCTTCCAACCTTTTCGAGGACGACCCCTACCCCGCCTTCCTTCTACAGATTTAAATGCTCTCCATGTCATTCTACTTTGATCCATTCTCTCTAAATGACTAAACCACCTCAACAACCCCTCTTCAGCTCTCTGACTAATACTTTTATTAACTCCACACCTTCTCAGCAAGCTTATCCCCTATAATTCTTACATTCTCTTATATATCTTTATATGTGACTGACAACTGACCTATTAGGTGGCAGCATGGCACTGGGGATCTTTAGTGTTGCCGTGGTTAGCTCGTTCTCTGAGAGGGTATTCTCAAGTCGTGTAAGAGTTCCACCACTGCTTGTATAACAGCCAGCTCCATCCTGTGTCCTGCACCACCACCTGATAATGGACATATACTATAGTTGTATAAAAAAAATAGCATAAAATAAAATATATAAATATCTTTCAACACGTAAATCATTCACAGCCTACAGCATTTGAAGAACACTGAAGAATAAGAAACCATGCACTCTACTCAACAAGACTCCAATACATTACTATATCTGACACCATTTCATGTGCTCAATTCATCAGCATAGAAGAGGTGCCACAAGGCAGCATCTTAAGACCACTTTTATTTCTCCTTTACATCTATGACCCACCAATTGCATCTTAACAATTCAGACCAGTTTTATGTATGGATGACACTATCATTATCATTTCTAATTCAGATCCAAATGACCTCAACAGCAGAGTTAATGAAGTAGTTACAATAGCATACAATACCAACAAATATAAGAGTAAGATACATGTGCAACAGTTGAGTATCTTTATTGTTAAAACATTTCACCTACACAGTAGGCTTCTTGAATCAAATTCAAATGAAGAAGACTAATGTCCAGGCAAAACTTTTTGACAATAAAGATACTCAACAATGTGATTAAAAAAGACTATTGTGTAGGTTAAATAATTTGACAGTAAATATATTTAACTGTGGCACAAGCAACATAGTTGCTGCTGAACTAGAAAAGAGATCAGCCTGGATGGCAACCAATAAATTGACTAAAAATATTAAGAGTGAACTCTAATTAATGGACCAACAGGAGGAAAGGATGTATGCTACTGCTGACTGTCCGTTATTTCTGAACTGTTAAATTTATTTGTGATGATGGTTGGTTCTGGAGACAAACTGGACACACAGAACTTTAACTTGTAAAATAATACAGGGAGGATGTGAGAAAGGAGAAAGAGAAACTGAGAAAGGGTGAGTGAGAGGGGGTGGGTAGGTGTGAGGGAGAGTGGGTGTGAAAAGGGTGGGAGTGAGACAGTGGGTTGGGGGGGGGGGGGTGAGATGGTGAGGGATGGGTGGCTATGAAAGAGGATGTGAATGTGGATGGGTGAGAGAGGGGTGGGTGTGAGGGGTGGGTATGAGAAAGGACATGAGGGTGTATGAGTAGGTGTGAGTGGATGGTATGAGAAATGAGTGTGAGGACTGGTTGGTTAGTATATGAGAGCGTTGGTTTGAGAGGGTTGGTTGCTGAATACTATATGCGATTGCAACATTTGTATAGCAAAGTGTTGTTCTCATAGTGCAGTGGTTATTGTGCTTTAATCCTTTCAGTGGCCATCACACAGAACCACATCAATGAGGCCAGGGTCCCTCATGTAGTTCTATGTCATGAGTTCAGCTCACTCAGATAACCAGTGAGCAGTAAATTTTGGCCTAGATATGACAGAATGGGTCTGTGTGGTGAGTGTGCACAATATAAAAAAAACCTGCCTCATGCAGTGCCTGATGGGAAAATCAAAACTGTGACCATGTCTATGGTTTACAACAGCGACTCTGAGGTGTTTTCTCGGATAGTTTTTATGATTTTTATTGGCTGTTTCTTGGTATTAATTGATGGAATAGAAGGCATACTACTGAACTAGTTACTGTATAATTTTGTTTGGTTTCAAGGCAGAAAGTAATTTGAAAATGAGTTCAAATTAGCAGAAATATTAGATTTTTGCCAATATTCCTAAGGACAGGTAAGACCCTCTTACATCCCCAGTTTGTTTATGAATTTTAATAAGTCTGATTCAATTATTGGGATGCCATAAACCATGACCATTCATTCCTGGAGGATTATTTCCCAATAAAAGTAAGACCTAGACAGGAATGCCTCATGTCACCAAGGATGTTTACCATGTTTAAAGATGGGGATGCAAAAGAGGTGAATGCAAAGTGTTGGGAAGGGGTGTAGGATTAAAAGAGATTGATCTGATACCCCTAACTTTGCTCCTGAGTAATTTCATAAGTTTTCCACAATTTTTTTTTACTTTTGGTGTTATTACCTTCAGAAAAATATTTCTACTATTTCAGAAGAATTTTTTTTTTTTTTTTGAAAAGTGGACACACAGCAAAATTAATTTTGGGGGTCATGACAGTGAAAGGGTCAAGTGTCACTGTGTGGTGATGGCCATTTGCTAGAAACACCTTTTTCTAAGGTTGAGTCAACTAGCAAACATACATTTTATAAATTTGGGTATATAATATTGAGCCCTTATATAAGTTTATGCAGGTCACAATGGTGGTATGGCCATTAGAAGGTCTATTTTTATTAATGAGCAGTTTTTCTTTGCTTAGTATAGTACTGATATTATTCTCAGCATCAATTTTTTTTATTTTCCCTATATTTAGATTTTTTGCAAATCAAAATTTGCATATCTCTGGCTCAAGTCAAGAGATATAACTTGGAGTCCATTTTCATGAATTAAAGAAGGAAGTATGTATGTGTGTTTTCTCTTTTTCTTCTTTTTTTTTCTGTTACCCTACCTTGGTGGGAGGTGAACAGTGTGTTAGAAAAAAAGTCAAACTAATATATGAGAATATACATTACATGACTGACTTATTGGAACAGATAAAATAATAGCTGAAGGACAGGAAGGAAAGAATTTTCCTAAATGAAGACAATAAAACTAGAATAAAATTTTGAGTGGAATACTACAAGGATTCACTGTTTAGCAGTTGCTGCCTGTAATTTATGTACATTACCAATAATGATGAAAACAAACCAAACCACATCATTAAATTTGTAGATGATACCAAGATGAAGTACTGACCTGTAAGAAAAGCTACCCGGGAGGTTATCCTTGTCCTTGGATTTTGAGGCATCAATTGTGATGGGTGAAACAGAACCTACAACAAGGGAGTCAGTGGAAGTAATTACCTCTAACCCCTGGGACACAGCTGTCAGATTGACTTGACCCTGCAGAAACCAATGAGTCAAATTGAATGGTAAATTCTTCTATAGTGTTGGTCATTCTGTAAGCACAGCACATCATTTAATAATTATAAAGCTGTGCATTTCAAAATTGTAACATAAAATGATAGTACTACAGGTACATTATAAATAGGTTCAGTTTATTACTAATACTTCTACTAATGTATAAACTGCAAAAAATGAGCCTAAACAGAATCTGCAATATATTCCAGATGGCAATGGCAATCAAAATTTTACATGTGATTATCTGTGTATACTAAAGATTATGTGATAAAGATATGCTTCAAATTTCTGACAGCTGATGCTACATGCTAAAATCACTTCACAGCAGGCAGAACAATCCAATCTCAAGCAATATTTAACATATAATAAAGATGGTATCAGCAACTTTTACACTTCTTTTAAGCACCAAGTTGGCTGAGTGTACTTCCAATTTCCTGACTAATATTCTCAAAACTTGTGGTAAGAGTCAAAACATACTCACAATGCCCATGATGGAAGGGTCGTCAGATATAACAGTGGCACTGAGGATGTAGGAATAGCCACCTCTCAGGATGCCTGCAGGCAAGGTGATACTCTTCCCTATCAATTGGCCTGTTACAACTCCATGACCATTCACACTCCAGTAGTACTGGGGTACAAAAGTAAACAAAATATGAATGGAATATAGAATGACACACAGTGGGTAAAGAGTAATGAGTGGTGCAAAATTTGGAAATACAGGATTATGCAAAAAAATGCATTAAAAAGATACAATATACAGTGCTATATCAATAAAAATATTTAGAATATAGAAAGTTATGCAACTACAAAAAAAAATGAACAGTAGAAATCTGAGTAATACAATCACAAGGTATGAAAGAAATTTACGAATGTTTGTTTGTACACTGCATTGATGTGCAATGAATGAGGATGAAATTCAGTAGTGAATTAAATATGTAGACAATCTGAGCTAGAAAATAGAACATATACAAATACCTGGACAATTTGTTTAAGCCTGATGTATCACTACCAACTGTACTGATCCAAATAATAAAAGATAAAGACACTAGTTCAGCATGATATAATGTTTGTACAAAGGTGAATTACATTTAAGTGTGCATACTGAAAGCCCCTTAATATGCAGAGCATTTTGGGCAAAATTAAGACTAACTTAATGCCAAATGGCTTTAATATACAATTTCTTAGGTGATTGTAAATATAAATGTAGGAGTTACAATAGATACAAGAAAACTGAATATCCTATTAGTACATACTGACATTAAGGAGATACAATCAATGTTTTAATGGATGAGAGTCTTACAGATATTAAGAATAAGGTTATAATGTATACATATTTTAGTGATATTGAGAATATGGATATGCAAATATTAAGAATAAGATTATACTGTTTACTTATTACCTGAATTTCAGCACCCATATCCAACACATAACCAAAAAAGTATCCAAAACGGTTGGGATCCTCTCCAAGATACGATACTACGTGCCGCAAAATGCCCTTCTCACACTATACCACTCACTTATTTATCCATACCTCACCTATGCTATTTGTGCTTGGGGATCAACTGCAGCAACACACCTAAAGCCAATAATAACCCAACAAAAAGCTGCAGTAAGAATAATCACTAAATCCCATCCCTGGCAACACACCCCCCCACTCTTCATAGATCTAAACTTACTCCCTGTTCAGTACATCCACACTTACTACTGTGCAATCTACATCTACAGGACCTTAAACTCCAATATCAACCTTGACCTAAAACGCTTTCTTGATAGTTGTGACAGAACCCACAGGCATAACACCAGACACAAACATCTCTATGACATTCCCCGTGTCCGACTAAACCTTTACAAAAATTCAATGTATGTCAAAGGCCCTAAAATCTGGAAACACCCTACCTGAGAACTCTAGAACTGCAGACACATTCATCACCTTCAAAACTACCATTAGAAAACATCTTATCTCCCTGACACACCCCGTCAACTAACTACACGAATACCACCTGGTGGTTCACACTTACACTCACTCACCCATTTGACCATAAACAGAAACATTAATCTCAATCTTAAAATAATGAATCCTGTGATACTCCAATACTGAAACTATGTACTGTGCCAAAACAAAAGCATTCACATTGCTAAACTCACAAACTAGTATTTAGTCACTTAGCCATAATACCATCTTACCTCATAATTTGTAATATTTTAAAATTAAGAATTAAACTAAGTCTGCCCAAAATGCCTAGCCATGCTAGGTGTTCTAGCGGTACACTCTGTAATCATTATTTTACTACATGTAAACCACACAATAACCAAATTCTGTAAACTCAGTATTGTGATCCTTATAGAGAATAAACTTTGAATTGAATTTGAATTGAATTGAATTGAATAATGTTAAGAACATGGATATGTTAGGGAAAGAACAGTAGTTTTGAAGATGCTGGCTGAGACAGTGGTTCTGGAGGTTTCTAGCAGAGAGTTCCAGATTTTGGACCCTTTTATGTGCATTGAAAGGCATTCATAATGAAGTTTTCATACTATCACTATAATCTGAATGTTTCATAATTCATATACTGTACCATATTGTTACAGCATTTAAATGTCAAATATGGCACACTATAGAATCTTATAAACCACTATATTTATCACTGTCTATTAACTGTATGTCGATTTTAAGTCTGCCTGAAATGCTCTGCATAACAAGGGGCTTTCTAGAGAGTAGTTTATACAAGTAAATTAATCCAGTGTCAACTGTCTACTGTACTCTATAAAAATAAAGTTCTTTGTAGTATGTTGTATAGTGAATAAAGCTCGCTTATGAAATGCAATAACAAGGAAAAGCATTTAGTAAAAGAAAAAAGTGACACATTATTGAAAAATCAGCCACCTTCAAGCCTTGAGATAACAAAATACTGTAATTTACACAGTACATACATGGTTAAAGACAATGACAAAGTGTGATATGTTATACTATATTTCTTGTCCAATTCACTATTCTGTATATTATTCATAAAGTTATCATTAACTGTTGATCAGAAACAGTACACACAAGAAAATTTACAGATAAAAATATACATATTTTAGGCCCATACCTGCAGTTTTAGATTATCTACTGTGGACTCTGTCTCTGAGCAGAGTGTTGCTGTTGCTGTGTATTTATAACGACAGTCAGCCTTAACCTCTGTTGATCCACTGATGGTAACCTGAAGCAGCTGGTCTGGAGGCATAGTAGTGATGGTCATACCCTTTGCTTCACTGCTTAGACCATCTGATGTCTTTAGCTGAGCCACCACCATGTATTTCTTGCTAGGAAGAAACTGACAAAAAAAAAAAATAAATAAATAAATGATGAACTACATAAGAAATTTTTTTTTTTTTTACACACTGGCCATCTCCCACCATAGCAGGGTGACCCAAAAAAAGAAAACCACTTTCACCATAATTTACAAATTATCACTGACTTTGCAAGTGTAAAGATAAGACACTTCAGCTGACACTCCGAAGAGCAAATATCCCAAACTCCTCCTGTAAAGTGAAATCATCATACTTCCCACCTCCAGGACTCAAGTCCGGCTAACCAGTTTCCTTGAATCCCTTCACAAAATATTACTCCGCCCATGATGACACTCTTCAGGTCACTTGTTTTATCTAGGCTGGAATATTGCTGCACACTAACAGCACCTTTCAAGGCAGGTGAAATTGCTGACCTAGAAAATGTACAGAGAACCTTCACGGCGCGCATAACGGAGATAAAACTCCTAAATTACTGGGAGCGCTTGAGGTTCCTGAACCTGTATTCCCTGGAATGCAGGCGGGAGATACATGATTATATACACCTGGAAAATCCTAGAGGGACTAGTACCGAACTTGCACATGAAAATCACTCACTACGAAAGCAAAAGACTTGGCAGACGATGCAACATCCCCCCAATGAAAAGCAGGGGTGTCACTAGCACGTTAAGAGACCATACAATAAGTGTCAGGGGCCCGAGACTGTTCAACTGCCTCCCAGCATACATAAGGGGGATTACCAACAGACCCCTGGCAGTCTTCAAGCTGGCACTGGACAAGCACCTAAAGTCGGTTCCTGACCAGCCGGGCTGTGGCTCGTACGCTGGTTTGCATGCAGCCAGCAGTAACAGCCTGGTTGATCAGGCTCTGATCCACCAGGAGGCCTGGTCACAGACCGGGCTGCGGGGGCATTGACCCCCGGAGCTCTCTCCAGGTGAACTCCAGGTAAACATTCCAACAACTTATTCCTATCCAACATGCTCACACATGCCTGCTGTATATCTTATCTGAATAAATGTATTTTAATCTCATGTGGCAAAACAGGCCTTGTTACAGAACAACATATTACGTACCACAATACACAGTCAATGCTCAATTGTTTTCAATTGTTTGTTATCATGAATAATAAAGGCACTTCCAGTTTCAGACAGGATTACTCATTCGCTTGGAATGCCCCTGTGGATAAACATGAGAATTTCACTATCTGAATTTGTGATCATGGAAGCAAATGCGTGAAAAACAAATATCAATACACCATACGGCAAAATAAAATAAGACTACTGGCATATTTAAAAAGATACTGTCAGTCGAGTATTGACCTTTGTAATTTTGTAAGTACTGCTGCATCAGAGAATGAGGCTTTGGCAACTGCAGTGTTTACACTGAATAGTTTATATACTGTATACAAAAATATAAATAAAAATAATATTATTTTTTTTTTCAACACACCGGCCATTTCCCACTGAAGCAGGGTGACCCAAAAAAAGAAACACTTTCACCATCATTCACACATAATCACTGTCTTTGCAGAGGTGCCCAGACATGACAGTCAACATCCCAAACCCCTCCTTTAAAGTGTAGGCATGGTTTTGGGAAACAGAGCAAATATCCAGCTAAACATATTGATCAAAGGTTCACCCATTAGAAGACACACTGAGGGCAAATTTCTAGGTCTCCACCTTGACTGTAATCTTAAATTTCAGACCCACATCCAGTATATAACTAAGAAAGTTTCCAAAACAGTAGGTATCCTTTCCAAGATACAATACTATGTACCCCAACGAGCCCTCCTTACCTTATATCACTCTCTAATATACCCTTACCTCACCTATGGTACTGTGCTTGAGGATCTATCATGGCCAATCACCTCAAACCTTTAATTACCCAACAAAAAGTGGCAGTAAGGATGATCACATAATCCAGTGACACAACACACCTCACCTCTCTTCAAAACCATGAATTTACTTAATATACAGAATATATACACTTATTATTGTACCTACTATATATATAGAACATTAAACTCTAATATCAACCCTCCGCTCAAACTTCTCATAGACAGCTTCAACAGAACACACAGGCATAACACGAGGCACAAAACACTTTTTGACATCCCTCATGTCCACCTCTCACTTTGCAAAAATGCAATGCACATAAAGGGCCCTAAGATCTGGAACTCTTTGCCTGAAGCAGCAGGAGGTCTCCTGCTCACAAACCAGTTTAGGATCATACTCAAAAATCACCTCATCTCTCAATAACAAACCTACCCACACCATGCTAAACCCCAACCAAATTCAAAGCAACTCCCCCAAATACTTTATCTTCCTTTAACTATTAAGCCATTTTTATAAACTTATAAATGTATGTTTGTATCACTAATTGTACTACCTCATATTAATAAGAGAGTAAATGAATTTGATTACAAACTTAAAAATGTATGATTGATTATATCATAAATTGATTGTATCATAAATTTGCCTACCTCAAATTAACAATACGAGTGAAATATAGAATATTTGTATTCTATCTTTGTAAAAGAACCTAATTTCATACCTAAAAATGTAAGATTGTCATAAATTGTACTACCTCATATTAACAATAGAGTGAATATTGACTGTTTGTATTCTACCATTCTTCACCTGTCTAGACTTAAGTAGTCGATAAGTATTAGGTTAAGTCTGCCCGAAATGCCTCAGCGGGATAGTGGCTTTCCTTGCTCCAATCATACTATGATATGTAAACACACATTGTAACCTTAGCAAAGAAATAAATATTTTATTTTATATTTTATTGTACTTCACACCTCCAGAACTCAATAATAATAATAAACTTAATAATAAACCCAGCCAATTTTTCCAACCTCTGTCAGTCACTGCCACAGTTTTCATTTTCTCACCAATTACACACATCATAGACTTACCCTGCTCCCAGGAACAGTCATTGAGAAGCCTTGATGAGTAGACATAGTCTTCATCTTCTCCTTGAGAGCATGAATACTTTGCCATGTCTGCAATATGTCTGCCTGGCTCCAATTCTCAATGCCAGGCTCCCAAGTAATGTTCCACGTAGGCTATAGGGAATTACATTTATATTCACATTGTATTCTACAGCATTTAAAACAAAATATAAATGACTGTTACACATTTAGCATTTAAATTCTTAACATCACACTCAAGAGTTTTCAGAACATAATTAATAGTAATTAAAAAATCTTCATCATTTAACAAATAAATACAGAATATTGCTGAGGAGATTCCAGTTATTATACTGTGTGCATGTGTGTAGGATGCACGTATGTGCATCCTATACATACCAACTTATTGCAAAGCACATACTTGTTCAGCATCCTAAGCAAACTAAGATGCAAGTATCTAGATGTACAGATTTCAATAATAATTTTAAAATGCCAAAAAGAACAAATACTGACCGTAATGTCTTCAATTTTGGCTCCTCTGATCCTGTTAATTGTTACCATGACTAAGGATGAGTTGCACGCCTGAGTGTTTCCCGTCATTTCAAATGTCAGCTCATTCTGTAACAGATGCACTGAGAGAGTACTAAACATAGACCACACTTTCTCTATAATTGTCTGTTTGGGTTGTGATGTCCCACACTGAGCACTTATGCTAGGGCAGGAATTAATGACTAAGCGCAGGTGATGAATGGTTTTGAAAACCAACAAGTTGAAGATTGAGACACTTATGCAACATATGGGAATCTTTATTGAGGAAATGTTTCGCCACGCAGTGGCTTCATCAGTCCAATACAAAGTAGAAAGGTGTAAGGAGAGGAGGAGTTTGAGGTAATCAGTCCCTCAGCCTCAGTCTTGTAGAATGTACATTCTACAAGACTGATGGACTGAACACATCAACTCCAGGCTGAGGGACTGATTACCTCAAACTCCTCCTCTCCTTACACCTTTCTACTTTGTATTGGACTGATGAAGCCACTGTGACAAAACATTTCCTCAATAAAGATTCCCATATGTTGCATAAGTGTCTCAATCTTCAACTAAGTGCATGGAAGATCTTGAAAATATATTGCAAAAAATCTTCTAACAGCAGAGTTCGATACACAATATTCAAAAATATCTTAAAAGACCTTATACAGTACATCCACACACACACATGCTTACACTTGTGCACAAATGCACATGCACACATATACAGGGGTGTCCCACACCTTGATCACTAGCACACTCAGCTCACACAATGAGGTCTGAGGATCGATCCCTGGTACGGCTGAAAAACAGTAGGATGTGTTTCCATAAGACACCTGATGTCCCTGTTCACCCATCAGTTAGAGGGTACCTGGGTGTTAGTCAACTGGCGTGGATCATATCCTGGGACAAAACTGAGTTAATTTGCCCGAAATGCTCTGCATAACAAGGGGCTTTTTGTGTAGTAGTATGTCATTTATGTCAGCTAGGCCTGTATACCTTATACATGTACTTGTAGAAATAAAGATATTATTATTACTAACCTATCACAGAGGAGTGACAGCTACATCAGATCATTATTAGTTGTAGCTATATGAAGAACAAAGAGTAGATGGCATACAAGACAGGCAGCAATGGGTAAGCACAAAATGTAAGTAAATGAATTGAGGAAGTAAACAGTTTTGGGAAGATATAAACAACTACATGTACTGGGAAAGGTGGGCTAGAAAAGGTGCAGGAAATGAGGCTTAGGAGTATATTGAAAAATGCACTGCTACAGTGCACACCAGAGATTTGTGGGTATGAGTAAGTGCAGATGGGAAGAAGAATGATTAGCAGAATGATAACATAAAGAGGGTGGTAAGGAAGAAAAAATTAGTTCATGAGAGGATTTTTTGCAAAACAAAAATGTTAGATGGAAGGTAGAATATATGGAGAAAGAGGGAGGTTAAAAGAATGGAGAGGGAGTGCAAAAAGAGAGCTAGTGAGAGAATAGGTGAATCTATATCAGTAAATTTTGCTGAGAATAAAAAGCTGTTTTGGAGAGAGATCAATAAGATAAGGAAGATTGGAGAATATATGGACACGGTAGTTTAAAACAAAAGAGTGGAGATGTTACATGGGAAGGTGGAGGTACTGGAAAGATGGAGAGGATATTTCAATGAGTTGAACATTAGTGATGCAGGGAAGGCAATGATTTCATGCATGGGGTAGGGAGGAATAACACTGTATAGAAGTGAGGAGGAACCTGAGGTGGATGTGGAGAAAGAGCTGGAGGGAGTGGGTAGAATGAAAGGGGGTAAAGCAGCTGTGATAGATGGGGCTTAAGACAAATGTTAAAAGCAGATATGGATATAGTATTGGAGTGGCTGGCTCTTCATATAACTGATCTCAGCTCTGTATAATTAAACCATACAGGTATGCTACTCAAATACAACAAGAAAATGATTCTTTGATTTACCGAGGTTATGAAAAAATTTAGGTGCAATATAAAAGCACTTAGTAGATTCCACAAGAGTTCTGAGTGCCTATTAGTACCTAAATCTCTCTGGGTAAATATCAGTGATGCATACAAAGCACTGACCATGAGCTCTGGTTGAGTGACAGTGAAGCTTCCATTTGCTGCCTGAGCAGTTGCAGCATCACCAAAGGCCCTGCGAATGTTACTCGAAGCAGTGAAGTTTAGGGAGGTGTTAGCCACTACCCTAATAACAGGACCCAACAGCACTCTCAGTCGGGATGCAGAGAACTTGCAGATGGGTGCTGGTGACTCTGGTAAATTTGAAAAAAGAAGCTCAGCTTATGTATATTTAGAAGTCAGCCACCACTTTCATGGGCTTGGGGTAGACAGAAGTCAAGTGTAATGAGAGTTTTAAAAATTGTTACTACAGTACTGTAACTTAAACTAAAAATGTAAATTTATTTTACTAATAATTATTTAAATAAGAGTGGAATTAAATCAAGTGGTAACACTGAACTTTTAAACTGGTATGTAAAGCAACGTAATTAAGTATTATATCCATCTGGCCAAGAGAGCCCAATTTAAATTTAAGCAAAAAATACTAAGGGCACAAATTAAGCCAAAATAAAATAAGCAATTATTTTATTTTGGCAAAATAAAATAAGTAATACCAACTTGTGCTACCAGTCCAGGGCCAGTTGATTATCTGAGAGCATTGGGTTTTGGATTCAACATTCACATCAAAAATGATATCCAGAAACTCTCCTGTAGAGGATAGAACAGCTGAAGTAACCTGGGGAGCTTGTGCTTTGATGATCAGTGGCATCGTAGGCAGTTTCAATGGTACACTGGCAAAGACAGATGGAGAAAGCTACTGTAAGTTACAGTGAAAAATTAAAATATGTGGCTATAATACTGTTCCACTAAATTAAGATGATTAAATAAGAAATCCCAGACTCCTATCCCATTATATAGCATGTTAGATAGGAGTGAATGGAGGCATATGGTTTTTGGGACTTGATGAGCTGTTGGAATGTGAGCAAGGTAACATTCTGTGAAGGGATTCAGGAAAACCGATCCTGGGGGTGGGAAGTACAGTGTCTACACTCTGAAAGAGTGGTGGGGATATATGCAGTTTGGATGGGCATCTGAACTGTAGATTACTTTGCCCAAAATGCATTGCATAATTAGTGACTTTCTTTTGTGCCTACTTCTGGATCAAATTTTGTTTCAGATTATACATATGTACGGTAATCTTTATATGGCTCATGAAAAATAAAAGTTTTAACTTTTAATTTAATTTTAATTTAATTTTTTTTTAGCATACTGTAAGTAAGTAAGTAAGTAATTAAGTAAGTTTATTCAGGTATACACAAATACAGTTACATAGAATTATCATACATAGCAGAATATGTGTAGAGAACCTAGGATAATCCAAAAAAGTCAGACAGAGTGACTTATTTCCATTGGGAAGATTAAGCATAAGAATAAACAATTTTAAAACAGACCACACATAATTTGCTACCTTAACACTATTATCACTATGTTCATATGTATGTTTGATGTGCTAGCACAATGAGAGCTTTTTAGGATATATAGATAGCTGTAAAATTATAACATGCAATATCCAAGTCATTAGCTAAAAATACCAGAGTACAGTGATACCAACACTTTTATGAATGCTGCAACAAGGAGGTGGTTAGGGACAGTGGAGATGTTATATCTGAGAGCAATGTGTGGTGTGAATGTAATTCAGAAAATCTGTAGAATAAAAATTAAAAGATGTTGGGTTACCAGGGAGCTGAGAAGGGATTGTTAAGGTTGTCTGGACATAGAGAATGGTAAAGGATAGGATAACAAAGAGGGTGTATAAATCTGGGGTGGAAGGCAGGAGGGGTAGGGATCATCCTGACAGCTCTTGGGAGGCGAGAGGTTAAAGGAGGCTTCGAGTTTTAGAGGTGATCATCCAGCAGGCTTGTGTATGTTAGAAAGGAGTGAATGGAGTCAAGTAGTTTTTAATGGATGTGCTGTTGGAATGTGAGCGAGGTAGCATTTATGAACTCAGGAAAACTGGCTAGCTAAACTTGAGTCCTGGAGGTGGGAAGGACAGTGTTTCCACTCTACATTCTCCATAGCTATCAATCGGGCTTTAGAAGATCTTACTCAACTGACACCTCCCTAATTAATCTGATGGATTACACAAGAACTGAAATGTCAATGGGAAACTTCATAGGTATGGTAACCTTAGACCTGCAAAAGGCCTTCGATACTGTCAACCACAATATATTATGTAAGAAACTTCAAGCTATTGGTATAGGTTCTGTAGACTGGTTTAAGTCCTACCTTAGCAGCAGGAGACAAATTGTCAAAATCAACAAAACAGAATCAGAACCCCTGCCGATAGCATGTGGAGTTCCCCAAGGTAGTATTCTGGGTCCCTTATTATTCTTATGCTATGTCAATGACATGCCTATCAGTGTCAAGTGCAAACTCCTACTGTATGCAGATGACAGTGCTCTGTTAGTGTCAGGTAAAGACCCACAATATATAGCTAATGTATTAACACTGGAACTGGAGTCCTGCAGCAAATGGTTAGTAGACAACAAACTATCATTACACCTCGGGAAAACTGAAGTCATTCATTTTGGCACGAAACATAAACTGAGAAGGGTAAATAATTTTAATGTCTAGTGTAATGGGGAGCCCATCACTTTGGTTTCATCAGTAAAATATCTGGGAATCCCCTTTGACCCATGCATGTCAGGAGAACTGATACGGAACAGTGTAGTAAAGAAAGCGAATGCCAGACTGAAGTTCCTCTATAGACAAGCGCAGTGTCTACCTACTGAGACTTGCAGGACCCTATGTCTATCCCTTATAAGATAAGATAAGAAGAGATAAGATAAGATTTTGTTCGGATTTTTAACCCCGGAGGGTTAGCCACCCAGGATAACCCAAGAAAGTCAGTGCGTCATCGAGGACTGTCTAACTTATTTCCATTGGGGTCCTTAATCTTGTCCCCCAGGATGTGACCCACACCAGTCGACTAACACCCAGGTACCTATTTGCTGCTAGGTGAACAGGACAACAGGTGTAAGGAAACTGTGTCGAATGTTTCCACCCGCCTGGAATCGAACCCGGGCCCTCCGTGTGTGAAGCGGGAGCTTTAGCCACCAGGCCACCGGGCCTATGGGTCATATGGATTACGCTTGCTCTTCATGGTACTCTGCCTTGACAAAAAACTGAAAGATAGACTGCAAATCACCCAGAACAAAATTGTAAGATTCATCCTGGGCCTGGGTCCAAGAGAGCATGTAGGCCAGAATGAATTACAGCAGTTGGATATGCTGAATATTGAAGACAGAGTAAAACAACTAAAGCTAAATCATGTTTATAAAATTGCTCACAAACAGTGTCCAGAATATCTTGCTGTCAATTTTCTCAAGGTTGGGAACCAAAGCAATTATACTACTAGGGGGAGAGAGCACAACTTTGTAGTACCCACAGTCAGTGGCCAGGATTCAGACACATTTTATTGTACAGCAATAAAGGAATGGAACAGACTGCCCATACATGTCAAAGCCAGTCATAACATGAACCAGTTCAAGAAGAGTGCCAAAAGGTGTCTGATGAATGTGGGTACTACAAAGTTGTAGTACCCACATTCATCAGACACCAGCGTCAAGGAACCTCCCCACATGAGAGGTTCCTTGATGCCGGTGAAGGGGTTCTTGACCCAAGTAATTTTATATGACCTTCCATTCCTTGAATCGAGCCTGATTTCCTCCCAATTTCCCAGGCGCAGTATGACCCCAATGGCTTTGGCCTTCTCTCTACAAATGCAGCGCTGTATAGCCCTTGTGGTTTAACGCTTCTTTTTTTTTTTTTTTTTTTTTTTTTCAACAAGTCGGCCGTCTCCCACCGAGGCAGGGTGACCCAACAAAGAAAGAAAATCCCCAAAAAGAAAATACTTTCATCATCATTCAACACTTTCACCACACTCACACATTATCACTGTTTTTGCAGAGGTGCTCAGAATACAACAGTCTAGAAGCATACACATATAAAGATACACAACATATCCCTCCAAACTGCCAATATCCCAAACCCCTCCTTTAAAGTGCAGGCATTGTACTTCCCATTTCCAGGACTCAAGTCCGACTATATGAAAATAACCGGTTTCCCTGAATCCCTTCACTAAATATTACCCTGCTCACACTCCAACAGATCGTCAGGTCCCAAGTACCATTCGTCTCCATTCACTCCTATCTAACACGCTCACGCACACTTGCTGGAAGTCCAAGCCCCTTACCCACAAAACCTCCTTTACCCCCTCTCTCCAACCCTTTCGAGGACGACCCCTACCCCGCCTTCCTTCCCCTATAGATTTATATGCTTTCCATGTCATTCTACTTTGATCCATTCTCTCTAAATGACCAAACCACCTCAACAACCCCTCTTCTGCCCTCTGACTAATACTTTTATTAACTCCACACCTTCTCCTAATTTCCACACTCCGAATTTTCTGCATAATATTTACACCACACATTGCCCTTAAACAGGACATCTCCACTGCCTCCAACCGTCTCCTCGCTGCTGCATTTACCACCCAAGCTTCACACCCATATAAGAGTGTTGGTACTACTATACTATACATTCCCTTCTTTGCCTCCATAGATAACGTTTTTTGACTCCACATATACCTCAACGCACCACTCACCTTTTTTCCCTCATCAATTCTATGATTAACCTCATCCTTCATAAATCCATCCGCCGACACGTCAACTCCCAAGTATCTGAAAACATTCACTTCTTCCATACTCCTCCTCCCCAATTTGATATCCAATTTTTCTTTATCTAAATCATTTGACACCCTCATCACCTTACTCTTTTCTATGTTCACTTTCAACTTTCTACCTTTACACACATTCCCAAACTCATCCACTAACCTTTGCAATTTTTCTTTAGAATCTCCCATAAGCACAGTATCATCAGCAAAAAGTAACTGTGTCAATTCCCATTTTGAATTTGATTCAATAATAATAATAATCTGATGAATGTAGCTACAGAAAGGGAGGGGAATGATTTTTTATTTTTTTAGCTAACACACGTGTAATTTTACCTTATTCCTAGGTAGTAGGTTGGTAGACAGCAACCACCCAGGGAAGTACTACCGTCCTGCCAGATGACTGTGAAACAAAAACCTGTAACTGTTTTGCATGATGGTAGGATTGCTGGTTTTCTTTTTCTGTCTCATAAACACGCTAGATAACAGGGATATCTTGCTACTCCTACTTACACTTTGGTCACACTTCACAGACACGCACATGCATATATATATATACATACATCTAGGTTTTTCTCCTTATTCTAAATAGCTCTTGTTCCTTTTTATTTCTTCTATTGTCCATGGGGAAGTGGAAAAGAATCTTTCCTCCGTAAGCCATGCGTGTCGTATGAGGCGACTAAAAATGCCGGAGCAATGGGCTAGTAACCCCTTCTCCTGTATACATTTACTAAAAAAGAGAAGAAGAAAAACTTTATAAAACTGGGTTGTTTAAATGTGCGTGGATGTAGTGCGGATGACAAGAAACAGATGATTGCTGATATTATGAATGAAAAGAAGTTGGATGTCCTGGCTCTAAGCGAAACAAAGCTGAAGGGGGTAGGAGAGTTTCAGTGGGGGGAAATAAATGGGATTAAATCTGGAGTATCTGAGAGAGTTAGAGCAAAGGAAGGGGTACAGTAATGTTAAATGATCAGTTATGGAAGGAGAAAAGAGAATAGAATGTGTAAATTCGAGAATTATGTGATTAAAGTAAAGGTTTGGGTGCGAGAAGTGGGTCATAATAAGCGTGTATGCACCTGGAGAAGAGAGGAATGCAGAGGAGAGAGAGAGATTTTGGAGATGTTAAGTGAATGTATAGGAGCCTTTGAACCAAGTGAGAGAGTAATTGTGGTAGGGGACCTGAATGCTAAAGTAGGAGAAACTTTTAGAGAGGGTGTGGTAGGTAAGTTTGGGGTGCCAGGTGTAAATGATAATGGGAGCCCTTTGATTGAACTTTGTATAGAAAGGGGTTTAGTTATAGGTAATACATATTTAAGAAAAAGAGGATAAATAAGTATACACGATATGATGTAGGGCGAAATGACAGTAGTTTGTTGGATTATGTATTAGTAGATAAAAGACTGTTGAGTAGACTTCAGGATGTACATGTTTATCGAGGAGCCACAGATATATCAGATCACTTTTTAGTTGTAGCTACACTGAGAGTAAAAGGTAGAGGGGATACAAGGAGAATAGGAAGCATCAGGGAAAGAGAGAGGTGAAGGTTTATAAACTAAAAGAGGAGGCAGTTAGGGTAAGATATAAACAGCTATTGGAGGATAGATGGGCTAATGAGAGCATAGGCAATGGGTCGAAGAGGAATGGGTAGGTTTAAAATGTAGTGTTAGAGTGTTCAGCAGAAGTTTGTGGTTACAGGAAAGTGGGTGCAGGAGGGAAGAGGGGCGATTGGTGGGAAAGATGATGTAAAAAGAGTAGTAAGGGAGAAAAAGTTAGCATAGGGGAAGTTTTTACAAAGTAGAAGTGATGCAAGGAGGGAAGAGTATATGGAGAAAAAGAGAGAGGTTAAGAGAGTGGGGAAGCAATGAAAAAGAGAGCAAATGAGAGAGTGGGTGAGCTGTTATCAACAAATTTGTTGAAAATAAGAAAAAAGTTTTGGAGTGAGATTAACAAGTTAAGGAAGCCTAGAGAACAAATGGATTTGTCAGTTAAAAATAGGAGAGGAGAGTTATTAAATGGAGAGTTAGAGGTATTGGGAAGATGGAGGGAATATTTTGAGGAATTGTTAAATTTTTGATGAAGATAGGGAAGCTGTGATTTCCCGGGATAGGGCAAAGAGGAATAACATCTTGTAGGAGTGAGGAAGAGCCAGTTGTGAGTGTGGGGAAGTTCGTGAGGCAGTAGGTAAAATGAAAGGGGGTAAGGCAGCCGGGATTGATGGGATAAAGATAGAAATGTTAAAAGCAGGTGGGGATATAGTTTTGGAGTGGTTGGTGCAATTATTTAATAAATGTATGGAAGAGGGTAAGGTACCTAGGGATTGGCAGAGAGCATGCATAGTTCCTTTGTATAAAGGCAAAGGGGATAAAAGAGAGTGCAAAAATTATAGGGGGATAAGTCTGTTGAGTGTACCTGGTAAAGTGTATGGTAGAGTTATAATTGAAAGAATTAAGAGTAAGACGGAGAATAGGATAGCAGATGAACAAGGAGGCTTTAGGAAAGGTAGGGGGTGTGTGGACCAGGTGTTTACAGTGAAACATATAAGTGAACAGTATTTAGATAAGGCTAAAGAGGTCTTTGTGGCATTTATGGATTTGGAAAAGGCGTATGACAGGGTGGATAGGGGGCAATGTGGCAGATGTTGCAAGTGTATGGTGTAGGAGGTAGGTTACTGAAAGCAGTGAAGAGTTTTTACGAGGATAGTGAGGCTCAAGTTAGAGTATGTAGAAAAGAGGGAAATTTTTTCCCAGTAAAAGTAGGCCTTAGACAAGGATGTGTGATGTCACCGTGGTTGTTTAATATATTTATAGATGGGTTGTAAGAGAAGTAAATGCGAGGGTCTTGGCAAGAGGCGTGGAGTTAAAAGATAAAGAATCACACACAGGGTGGGAGTTGTCACAGCTGCTCTTTGCTGATGACACTGTGCTCTTGGGAGATTCTGAAGAGAAGCTGCAGAGATTGGTGGATGAATTTGGTAGGGTGTGCAAAAGAAGAAAATTAAAGGTGAATACAGGAAAGAGTAAGGTTATGAGGATAACAAAAAGATTAGGTGATGAAAGATTGAATATCAGATTGAGGGAGAGAGTATGGAGGAGGTGAACGTATTCAGATATTTGGGGGTGGACGTGTCAGCGGATGGGTCTATGAAAGATGAGGTGAATCATAGAATTGATGAGGGAAAAAGAGTGAGTGGTGCACTTAGGAGTCTGTGGAGACAGAGAACTTTGTCCTTGGAGGCAAAGAGGGGGAAAGTATGAGAGTATAGTTTTTACCAACGCTCTTATATGGGTGTGAAGCATGGGTGATGAATGTTGCAGCGAGGAGAAGGCTGGAGGCAGTGGAGATGTCATGTCTGAGGGCAATGTGTGGTGTGAATATAATGCAGAGAATTCGTAGTTTGGAAGTTAGGAGGAGGTGCGGGATTACCAAAACTGTTGTCCAGAGGGCTGAGGAAGGGTTGTTGAGGTGGTTCGGACATGTAGAGAGAATGGAGCGAAACAGAATAACTTCAAGAGTGTATCAGTCTGTAGTGGAAGGAAGGCGGGGTAGGGGTCGGCCTAGGAAGGGTTGGAGGGAGGGGGTAAAGGAGGTTTTGTGTGCGAGGGGCTTGGACTTCCAGCAGGCATGCGTGAGCGTGTTTGATAGGAGTGAATGGAGACAAATGGTTTTTAATACTTGACGTGCTGTTGGAGTGTGAGCAAAGTAACATTTATGAAGGGATTCAGGGAAACCGGCAGGCCGGACTTGAGTCCTGGAGATGGGAAGTACAGTGCCTGCACTCTGAAGGAGGGGTGTTAATGTTGCAGTTTAAAAACTGTAGTGTAAAGCACCCTTCTGGCAAGACAGTGATGGAGTGAATGATGGTGAAAGTTTTTCTTTTTCGGGCCACCCTGCCTTGGTGGGAATCGGCCAGTGTGATAATAATAATAATAAAAATCCTAGAAATGACCCTCGTATTGTAGATAGTCTTAATGACCCTCATGTAGTAGATAGTCTTTTTAGTATAATAATAAGATGTTATCTTCATTATACAATAATAAGAAAATATTATAACCTTTATATTATAATAATAAGGTAAAAGGACCCCAGTGGAAATAAGTCACTCTGTCTGACTTTTTTGGGTTATCCTAGGTTCTCTACACATATGCTGCTATGTATGATAATCTATGTAACTGTATTTGTGTATACCTGAATAAACTTACTTACTTATTCTGCAGGAGGGACAGGGATGTTGCAGCTCAAGGGTAATTTGAACTGTGATGTCTGCATTCTTCTAGCAAAACAGCAACTGAATGAGTAATGGTGAACATGTTTTCTTCTCTGATCACCCTGTTTTGGCAGGTGTCAACTGATGTAAAAAAAAAAAAAAAAGCTGTCAATAAAAGTGGGTTACAACTCAAAATGTACCTGTGAACTAGCACACGTGCTGCAAAGGTGAGAGGAAGACCAAGTTGTGCCTGTCCAGGCCTGGCATCCTTGGGTAGCGTGCAGGTAACACGATTTGGTGGTATGAGGGCTGTGGGCAGGTCCTGCACCAGATGGGGTGATAGGTCTCCCTTCATTCTCCTTTCTTTGGCTTTATCACTCTCACCTAGTAGGAAACATAATGATAGCAAATCACTAATATAGTGATAACTTCTATTAAATCTAGTTGAAATATAATCACAGTGAGAAAGGATTATGAGATGAAGTGATAACCACATCAACTATAATAAATTACTGCATATTTTATTAACTTTAACTTTTATACTTTACCAATTCTGTAAAGTATTCAGCTTGTCTACCAATGGGGATACTTTACTCATTTGGTTTTGAACTCAGAAACATAACTATTCAATAATTCCAGGTTTGCGTGGAGGGGAAAGACTAACTCAGGTTTCATAGCACTTGTATGACACACACAAATGTGGTTTAATATTTTTTTTTTTAACAAACCAGCCATATTCCACCAAGGCAGGGTGACCTAAAAACAAAAATAAATTTTTTTTATATTACTAAGTAATTTATACACAAGAAGGGTTACTAGCCCCTTGCTCCCTTAACCCGTAAACGGTCCATACGTTCACTACCCCAGTGCCTCGAATATTTTGAAAAATAAAAAAAATAATTTTCTTTAATGAAAATAAAGAGCACATTTTTCTAAGTGTTATAGGATTAAAATAAAAAAATTAGGGTCAGTACTTAATGAGATATGAGGCTGCAAAGTTGCCACTTAATGCTCACCTGACGGCAACAGAGTCCCGCCGCTTACAGAAGTGTTGCCAATATTCCATTTTTTCTCATTTTTATATTATTATATATAATTTTTATGTTCTGATAATTACAATTTATTTTAGTTCTTGTCATTTCATAACCAATCTTTATTCTGACACTAATATTAGGTACTGATATTGTACTCAAATTGTCACAAACACATTGACAGATGGACATTTACACTTGCCTTGGTCATTTACTATTGTCTAGGAATATATACAAAGTATTTATAGGTCCCAGCAATGTTTTGGATACACGGGAGTATAGAAGAAAAAGAAGGAAGAAGGAAGGAGGAGGAGGAAGAAGGAAGAAAAAGGAAGAAGTTCCCTTGAAGCAATGTGTAAGACAAGTGTTCAGTGACAAGCATCCAGGAGGGCAGTGATAAGATGAGATATGAGATGACATTTGATGGGCTCCAGCGAGGGTTCAGAGATGAGATAGTGCAGAGATAAGACGAGATAGGTTATGACATTTGATGGGCACCAGTGAGGGTGCAGAGATAAGGGATGACATTTGATGAGCTCATATCTCTGATTATCTGTCTCTCTGTCTGCTTGTCTCTTTCCATCTCTCTGCTTGTCTGTCTCAGAGAGAGCCACTGTGAACCAACAGGTATTCTTATGTATTATATCTACAAGCATAGTATAGCACTTTGGATTTTTTAGGTAATCCTAGGTAATTTACACTATGTATAATTGTATTTGTGTGTACCTGAGAGACAGAGATAGACAGACCCTAAACTTGGGGTTAACATCACTTTCCTCTTAAAAGGGGTATTAATATGACATTACATCAGTGAATCCTTGGTGTTTGCCGCACTGTTTGCTCTAGCTGGTGCTCAATATAACTGGCGCTCCCACAAGGTACTAAGTGGTCCCAGATTTTTTTTAGTATGGTGCACACTGAGTATTAAGACCCATTCTATGCTGACCAGGCATCTCAGGCCAATCGTGCCAAATTTGAAGGCAAATTTGAAGGCTGGAATATTGCTGCACACTAACAGCACCTTTCAAGGCAGGTGAAATTGCCGACCTAGAAAATGTACAGAGAACTTTCACGGCGCGCATAACGGAGATAAAACACCTCAATTGTTGGGAGCGCTTGAGGTTCCTAAACCTGTATTCCCTGGAACGCAGGAGGGAGAGATACATGATTATATACACCTGGAAAATCCTAGAGGGACTAGTACCGAACTTGCACACGAAAATCACCCACTACGAAAGCAAAAGACTTGGCAGACGATGCACCATCCCCCCAATGAAAAGCAGGGGTGTCACTAGCACGTTAAGAGACCATACAATAAGTGTCAGGGGCCCGAGACTGTTCAACTGCCTCCCAGCACACATAAGGGGGATTACCAACAGACCCCTGGCAGTCTTCAAGCTGGCACTGGACAAGCACCTAAAGTCAGTTCCGGATCAGCCGGGCTGTGGCTCGTATGTTGGTTTGCGTGCAGCCAGCAGCAACAGCCTGGTTGATCAGGCTCTGATCCACCAGGAGGCCTGGTCTCAGACCGGGCCGCGGGGGCGTTGACCCCCGGAACTCTCTCCAGGTAAACTCCAGGTACATTTGGGGTGTTAGCGGTAAGAACGTATATATACATATGGACCATTTACGGGTTAATAAATACATTTTCATCAGCACCTTACTATATTCACTTACACAGGCACGCCCCGCTTATACAGCAGGTTAGGTTCTGGGCTACTGCTGTAAAGCGAAAATCACTGTAAAGTGAATCGTATAATTTTTTTTCACTTTCAAATGCATATAAAAGCCTGATAACATGTTTACACTATCATATATTAGGTGAGCAATAGAGTTAGGCCTAAAAAATGTATAAACAGTACACACATTACTTTTTTTTTTTTTTTTTTCAACAAGTCGGCCGTCTCCCACCGAGGCAGGGTGACCCAAAAAAGAAAGAAAATCCCCAAAAAGAAAATACTTTCATCATCATTCAACACTTTCACCACACTCGCACATTATCACTGTTTTTGCAGAGGTGCTCAGAATACAACAGTCTAGAAGCATACACATATAAAGATACACAACATATCCTTCCAAACTGCCAATATCCCAAACCCCTCCTTCAAAGTGCAGGCACTGTACTTCCCATTTCCAGGACTCAAGTCCGACTATATGAAAATAACTGGTTTCCCTGAATCCCTTCACTAAATATTACCCTGCTCACACTCCAACAGATCGTCAGGTCCCAAGTACCATTCGTCTCCATTCACTCCTATCTAACACGCTCACGCACGCTTGCTGGAAGTCCAAGCCCCTTGCCCACAAAACCTCCTTTACCCCCTCTCTCCAACCCTTTCGAGGACGACCCCTACCCCGCCTTCCTTCCCCTATAGATTTATATGCTTTCCATGTCATTCTACTTTGATCCATTCTCTCTAAATGACCAAACCACCTCAACAACCCCTCTTCTGCCCTCTGACTAATACTTTTATTAACTCCACACCTTTTCCTAATTTCCACACTCCGAATTTTCTGCATAATATTTACACCACACATTGCCCTTAAACAGGACATCTCCACTGCCTCCAACCGTCTCCTCGCTGCTGCATTTACCACCCAAGCTTCACACCCATATAAGAGTGTTGGTACTACTATACTTTCATACATTCCCTTCTTTGCCTCCATAGATAACGTTTTTTTGACTCCACATATACCTCAACGCACCACTCACCTTTTTTCCCTCATCAATTCTATGATTAATCTCATCCTTCATAAATCCATCCGCCGACACGTCAACTCCCAAGTATCTGAAAACATTAACTTCTTCCATACTCCTCCTCCTCCCCAGTTTGATATCCAATTTTTCTTTATCTAAATCATTTGATACCCTCATCACCTTACTCTTTTCTATGTTCACTTTCAACTTTCTACCTTTACACACATTCCCAAACTCATCCCTAGTTAAGAACGATAATAAATTTGTTGAGTTAGGCATAAGAATTAACAACTGGGCGTCTACACTGCAAACTGAATTGTTTGCAATCCTAATGGCGCTAAAGCTAACCTATGACACTGAGCTTGACTCTATCATCATTACTGATTCTATGTCATCATTGAAGGCTCTTGGCTCATATAATGACTCCAACAACATGCTCATTAGGGAAGCCAGGTACAGATACTCAAAAATTAGGGACAAAGGAATTAATGTACAATTGCTATGGATCCCATCACACATTGGATTACTTCTTCATGATAAAGTTGATATGTTAGCCAAGAAGAGTATCCAGAAGGAGAACGTAGAATATAACTTTGGTATAACTGTGTCTAGCATTAGGAATAATATTAGGAGAGAAGTAAATAATGAAGATGATTGTTATAGGAATGCAGTTAGAAGCCTGAGTAGATCTATAACCCACTATGATAACATGAACGTAGATAAGTATGTTTATGGAGCAACTTGCAATGTGAACAGACTGACTGATGTTGTAGTGGCCAGGCTTAGGCTTGGTTACAAGTACTTCTGGCAGTTTGGGAGACACACAGATGATGATCAAACTAAATGTAAATTATGTGATCAGGCATATGGTCACTCTCTTGAACACTATGTGCTTAATTGTCCACTTACTGAGGAATACAGAGACAGACAGTATAATAACCTATGTGACATGTCAAGATATCTTATTAATGAAAATAAGATACCAGATATACTAAGCAAATTTCCTAAATTTGCTTGTAACAGATAAGTGAACTATAGATATGTAGATATAAACCCATATGTATTCCTGTTAACCCTTTGGGGCCTAGTTCCTAGGCCTTTTGTGTATCCACATGCTCTCGCGCTACCGTCCACAGGATGGATATGGGGTGCACAATAAACTAGCCACTTCGGTGGCAAAATCTAAAAAAAAAAAAAATCCAAACTCATCCACTAACCTTTGCAATTTTTCTTTAGAATCTCCCATAAGCACAGTATCATCAGCAAAAAGTAACTGTGTCAATTCCCATTTTGAATTTGATTCCCCAAAATTTAATCCCACTCCTCTCCCGAACACCCTAGCATTTACTTCCTTTACAACCCCATCTATAAATATATTAAACAACCATGGTGACATTACACATCCCTGTCTAAGACCTACTTTTACCGGGAAGCAGTCTCCCTCACTTCTACACACCCTAACCTGAGCCTCACTATCCTCATAAAAACTCTTTACAGCATTTAATAACTTACCACCTATTCCATATACAGTGGACCCCCGGTTAACGATATTTTTTCACTCCAGAAGTATGTTCAGGTGCCAGTACTGACCGAATTTGTTCCCATAAGAAATATTGTGAAGTAGATTAGTCCATTTCAGACCCCCAAACATACACGATCAAACGTGCTTACATAAATACACTTACACAATTGGTCACATTCGGAGGTAATCGTTATGCGGGGGTCCACTGTACTTGCAACATCTGCCACATTGCTCCTCTATCCACTCTATCATATGCCTTTTCTAAATCCATAAATGCAATAAAAACTTCCCTACCTTTATCTAAATACTGTTCACATATATGCTTCAATGTAAACACTTGATCTACACATCCCCTACCCACTCTGAAACCTCCTTGCTCATCCGCAATCCTACATTCTGTCTTACCTCTAATTCTTTCAATTATAACCCTACCGTACACTTTTCCTGGTATACTCAGTAAGCTTATTCCTCTATAATTTTTACAGTCTTTTGTCCCCTTTCCCTTTATATAAAGGGACTATACATGCTCTCCGCCAATCCCTAGGTACCTTCTCCTCTTTCATACATTACTTACCTTAAAATATTTTTGTCCTTAGCTTATAGTGAGTGGTGAATATATTTATTGTAGGAAGCCTGAATGAATGAAGAATGGGTATAATTGAAAACCGTTGCATTAGTGAAATGTCATAAAGCAAAGTGCTGTAAAGAGAGGCCCTCCTGTATGTGGTTGCAGAGGGTCAAGTCTTAGCTCCTGGCCCCCGCCTTTCAACTTGCTGCTTGCCAGATTCACTCTCTCCTAGCCTCGTAGGAGTCATCATGCTTATTCTTAAAACTATGTATGGAGTCTACTTCCACCACTTCCTCATTAAGATAATTCCACTTTCTGACCATCCTGAACCTAAAGAAATACTTCCTGACTCATCTGTGACTAACTTCCAGCTGTGCCCCAGAGTACCTCTTGCCTGCCTCTCAAACAGCCTGTCCCTGTCTACCCTATCAATTTCTCCAAGTATTTTGTATACTGGTATTGCATCTCCCCTAGTCCTTCTGTCCTCTGAGGTTATTAGATTTAATTCCATTAGCCTTTCCTCGTAGCTCATGCCCCTTACCTATGCAACTAGCCTTGTTGCATACTTCTGCACTTCCTCCAGTTTCTTAACATGCTTCCTCAGGCCATAGGCATCAATGCAAGCATAGGTTTGACATCAGGAGCCCGGTGGGCATGAGGCATTCCCACTCCTGAGTGCAATGTTGTACCAGTAAAGATTTCACTGCATTAAGTGTGTATAAGATTTCATAGTGTTATGCCTTTATAACTGGCCATTTATAACTGGCCATGTATTCTTGGCAATACTGACTGTTACTGATGAGAAATGCCATCTTAACCACTCTTGTAGGTTAGGCACTTCTCCATAAAGTCAAATGGAGGGATGGCAGACTGGGTAGGTAGGGAGAAAAGGGGTGAGAGGTCCCTTGCTCTAAATAACCCAGACCTTGAGCTGTGAACATTGAAGATATGTCAAAAGGCTGCTACTAATTTAAAAGACTTAGGCTTTTGGAGTCCTGGCCATAAAAACAGGGTCTGTACATCCTATACTTAGTAATTTGGGTCTAAGACACTCACTATGGTGCCCAGCAAACATACTTTACCTCCTGTTATGTAACTCAGCCAGAGATAAGTTTGCTGTAGGATTTTTCAGGATTGCTTCCTCTGTGTAAAGCAAGGAGAGGTAGATAATTACATACACTCAAAATTATTAAAAAAATTCGACTCCTAAAAATAGTGGCAGTACCAAGTGGGGGGGTTGCACCTGGAGGTTTCATTCTCCCCAAAATTCCCTCAGACCCCCAAAGCCCCCAAATAAAAATAGTAATTAATAAAAACAGTGTTTCAAAACAAAGTCTCCTAGCCTGCCCTGTCAACCAAACAGCCACTTTCCAAAGCTCTCAATATTCTGGCTCTGCCCCTGCATAAAAAAAAAGATTAATCTGAGTCAAACTGAAAGAATAGTCTTCGAATAATAGAGAGGTTGGTAATTCTATACCTGTAGTAGATGAGTTAGGCTGGTAAATGATGATACAGGTAGCTGAATCCAGTGATGAGGTGCTTGTCACAGTTAATGTCACCTGACAGAAAGAATAAATAGCACATTTATACACAGTATTTATTGAAGAATTATAAAGCAGAGTTACAATGATTTGCATGTTTATAAATAATAATAATAATAATTCTAAGTAGTAGGTTGATAGACAGTAACTGCCCAGGGAGGTACTACAGTCCTGCCAAGTGAGTGTAAAACAGAAGCCCGTATTTGTTTTACATGATGGTAGGATTGCTGGTGTCTTTTTTCTGTCTCATCAACATGCAAGATTTCAGGTATATCTTACTACTTTTAATTATGCTTAGGTCACACTACACATACAAGCATATATATACACACACACACCTCTCTGGGGTTTCTTCTATTTTCTTACTAGTTCTTGTTCTTGTTTATTTCCTCTTATCTTCATGGGGAAGTGGAGCAGAATTCTCCCTCTGTAAGTCATGCATTTACCTGGAGAGAGTTTTGGGGGTCAACACCCTTAGGGCTCAGTCTGAGATCAAGCCTCATGGTGGATTAGGGTCTGATTAACCAGGCTGTTACTGCTGGCCACACAAACTGACATACGATCAGGTACTGACTCTAGGTGCATGTCGTAAGAGGAGACAAATGCCGGGAGCAAGGAGCAAGTAACCCCTTCTGTACACAGTACATTACTTAAGTCAAAAAGAGAAACTTTCAAATTTTTTTTTTTTTTTTAGGCCACCTTGCTTTGGTGGGACAGGGCTGGCAGGCAGGACTAAAGTCCAGCTTGCTGGTTTTCCTGAATCCCTTCATAAATGTTATCATGCTCACACTCCAACAGCATGTCAAGTCCTAAAAACCATTTGTCTCCATTCACTCCTATCGAACATGTTCACACATGATTGCTGGAAGTCCAAGCCCCTCGCACACAAAACCTCCTTTACCCCCTCACTCCAACCTTTCGTAGGCCGACCCCCACCCGCCTTCCCTCCACTACAGTTTTATACACTCGTCATTCTATAAAGAGTATGGAACAAAATAGAATGACTTCGAGAGAGTATAAATCTGTAGTGGAGGGAAGTAGTTAAACTATCTTATTTGAATGCTAAGTTTAACATAATTAAGTTGTCTAATGATACGATTATTAAATGAAATGATTATGCATGTAACAAAACCACAAGAAACAAATGATATTTTAATACATAAGTTAACCAAAAGCATGCGAAGCAAATTCAAAGAAATTTTCTGATGTATCAATCACATTCCCAAAATCAAAACTTTATTTCTTTGCTAAGGTTATAACATGTGTTTACATTTCATAATCTGACTGGTACAAAGAAAGCCACTATCATGCTAAGGCATTTCAGGCAGCCTTAACATAATACTTCAAGACTACTTAAGTCTAGACAGGTGAAGAGTGGTAGATTACAAATATTCAATATTTTACTCTATTATTAATATGATACTTCTAAACCAAGAGAATATATATCTGATAGATCATGAAAGTCCTTTAGTATATTGCCCTTGAAATGAAGTCAAACTGCATGTTTTAACATTATGCTTTTATAGAACATTAAGCATTTCTTACCAAGGAAGAGTGACCAAAAGAAACATTCACCACTGCTCATTAAATGGGCCAAAACTTCACTGAAGGATGAGCGAGTGTGTGTGTCACCCGGGGAGGCATAGTGATGTGAAATATGTACCAAATGTCAGTTTAAGTCAACTGGATATTGGATGAGTAATGCACAGCTTGTTTGCTGCATGCCTTGAAACCCACACCACCCATAATTACTGACCAAGTATGCATACGCAGTATTGTATTTTCACAGAACTAGAAAAGGTGACTACATATCAATTTTAAGTAGTCTTTAAACATGAGAATTAGTTTGCCTAAAATGCATTACATACTAGTGACTTTCTTTTGTGCCTACCAGTGTTTTATTACATGTAAACTACATTTTTTTGTACCACAAAGAAATAAAAATTTGTATTCATAAGTGTTCAATATAGATTAAATTTGGTTATTACCTTCACAGTTATTAAAGAAATAATATTCAGTATGTGGGTGGATATGGTAACCATATGTTTGCCTTGTTCTGTCATTATTCTCTCATAATATTTTGCAGAAAATCAAAGGTAAGTAGAATTATATTTGCTGGAAACAATGTGAGAAGATGTCTACACATCTCAGGTGTTCAACATTTTTAAATGGAGTTGTTTTCTTCAATCATTGTATGTGTAAGGTTAATGCAACACTTCAGATAAGATTTTGTTTGAATTTTTAAACCTGGAGGGTTAGCCACCCAGGATAACCCAAGAAAGTCAGTGCATCATCGAGGGACTGTGTTTTATTTCCATTGGGAGTCCTCAGTCCCCCGTGATGCAACCCACACCAGTTAACTAACACTCAGGTACCTACTTGCTTGCTAGGTGAACAGGACAACAGGTTTAAGGAAACACACCCAGTGTTTCCATCCTTGCTGGGGATTGAACGATGGGCACTCAGCATGTGAAGCAAGAGCATTGCCTACCAGGCCATGGGTTATGCATCAATCTGTACTCAGTCTATCAAAACCTCGTGCCATTTTTCCACAAGCCCATGACATTTTGATTCATATTTTATAGGTAATGCATGTGTCACAGCATTATACACTATACTAGCAACTATTATGCAAAGAACACATAACATACATTGGTTACATTTTGAAGACTGCATCACGAGAAAAACACACTGTGCAAATGCAATTTTTTTTTTTTTTTTTTTTTCAGAAAATTTACTACACATTAATTACAATTTAATTCCAAGAAGAAAGAATAAGTTTAACAGTATATTATGCAGTATAGTGTGAAATGTTTTTTCACAGTCCTCTGCATACAAGACCAATAAAATTATTGAGGTTCCAAGCTTGCCATGTGTTTTAATATACTGTATATTATATTCATTTTATTGTCATGCAATTAAATTAAATCAACTTTCAGTATTTCAAATGCATAACAAGACCTTTCAATTTCATTTTCAAAAAATTATTGGTAAAAAATTTCTACATATCAAGTCAGTATCTGCCAAATTACTTTACTACAAAAAATTCCATATCTACCTGGAGTTTACCTGGAGAGAGTTCCGGGGGTCGCGCCCCCGCGGCCCGGTCTGTGACCAGGCCTCCTGGTGGATCAGAGCCTGATCAACCAGGCTTTTACTGCTGGCTGCACGCAAACCAACGTACGAGCCACAGCCCGGCTGGTCAGGAACCGACTTTAGGTGCTTGTCCAGTGCCAGCTTGAAGACTGCCAGGGGTCTGTTGGTAATCCCCCTTATGTATGCTGGGAGGCAGTTGAACAGTCTCGGGCCCCTGACACTTATTGTATGGTCTCTTAACGTGCTAGTGACACCCCTGCTTTTCATTGGGGGGATGTTGCATCATCTGCCAAGTCTTTTGCTTTCGTAGTGAGTGATTTTCGTGTGCAAGTTCGGTACTAGTCCCTCTAGGATTTTCCAGGTGTATATAATCATGTATCTCTCCCGCCTGCGTTCCAGGGAATACAGTTTTAGGAACCTCCAGCGCTCCCAGTAATTGAGGTGTTTTATCTCCGTTATGCGGCCATGAAGGTCCTCTGTGCATTTTCTAGGTCAGCAATTTCACCTGCCTTGAATGGTGCTGTTAGTGTGCAGCAATATTCCAGCCTAGATAGAACAAGTGACCTGAAGAGTGTCATCATGGGCTTGGCATCCCTAGTTTTGAAGGTTCTCATTATCCATCCTGTCATTTTTCTAGCAGATGCGATTGATACAATGTTATGGTCCTTGAAGGTGAGATCCTCCGACATGATCACTCCCAGGTCTTTGACATTGGTGTTTCACTCTATTTTGTGGCCAGAATTTGTTTTGTACCCTGATGAAGATTTAATTTCCTCGTGTTTACCATATCTGAGTAATTGAAATTTCTCATCGCTGAACTTCATATTGTTTTCTGCAGCCCACTGAAAGATTCGGTTGATGTCCAGCTGGAGCCTTGCAGTGTCTGCAATGGAAGACACTGTCATGCAGATTCGGGTGTCATCTGCAAAGGAAGACACGGTGCTGTGGCTGACATCCTTGTCTATGTCGGATATGAGGATGAGGAACAAGATGGGAGCGAGTACTGTGCCTTGTGGAACAGAGCTTTTCACCGTAGCTCCCTCGAACTTTACTCTGTTGACGACTACTCTCTGTGTTCTGTTAGTGAGGAAATTATAGATCCATCGACCGACTTTTCCTGTTATTCCTTTAGCACGCATTTTGTGCGCTATTACGCCATGGTCACACTTGTCGAAGGCTTTTGCAAAGTCTGTATATATTACATCTGCATTCTTTTTATCTTCTAGTGCATTTAGGACCTTGTCGTAGTGATCCAATAGTGGAGACAGACAGGACCGACCTGTTCTAAACCCATGTTCCCCGGGGTTGTGAAAACTGATGGGTTTCTAGATGGTGGTGATCTTCCCTTCTTAGGACCCTTTCAAAGATTTTTATGATATGGGATGTTAGTGCTATTGGTCTGTAGTTCTTTGCTGTTGCTTTACTGCCCCCTTTGGTAAAGTGGGGCTATGTCTGTTGTTTTTAGTAATGTGGGACGACCCCCGTGTCCATGCTCCCTCTCCATGGGATGGAAAAGGCTCGTGATAGGGGCTTCTTGCAGTTCTTTGAACACGGAGTTCATGAGTCTGGTCTGGGGCAGAGTGGCATGGGCATGTCATTTATCGCCTGTTCGAAATCATTTGGCGTCAGGATAACATCGGATAGGCTTATGTTAACCATATTTTGTGGCTATCTCATAAAAAATTCATTTTGATCTTTGACTCTCAGTCTGGTTAGCGGCTTGCTAAAAACTGCGTCATATTGGGACTTGAGTAGCTCACTCATTTCCTTGCTGTCATCTGTGTAGGACCCATCTTGTTTAAGTAGGGGCCCAATATTGGACATTGTTCTCGACTTCGATTTGGCATAGGAGAAGAAATACTTTGGGTTTCTTTCAATTTCATTTATGGCTTTTAGTTCTTCCCGCGATTCCTGACTCCTAT